CCCCTGCATTACAATCGTTGACATCCCATACGGGGGATTCCTTGGCAACTGCGAAAGGCCAAGAGGGGCAAACTGCCTTGACACTGGTGGTCCTGCTATTGGAGTTTGGGGATTCGACACTGGTGGCCCAATATACTCTAATACGGGTTGTGTGTAAGGCCTAACTATCGTTGTCCCAGATCCTACTGGGGCGACGGTTTGCTCTGACCTTATGGGAGGCGCTACTTGCTCTCCAGTCGATGGTATAGGCGGTGGGACCATGTTGTTACTGGTTCCTTCGTCAGAACCTTGGACTTGTGGGTTAGGATTGTTTGGCTGGTTCGTTTCCGTCGCCATATTTCGAAGGATTGTTCGTCTTTCTTCGTTAGCAGCGGTAATTCTACCACTTCTTAGTAACATATAATGTACTTTCTACGAAGATTATTAAGGCTTGTGAATGAGAATCTTTTAATTCTAAATCGCAGGGATATTTAGCACTGTCCCACTGGGCGTGCCATTTTGTTTCCCTTGAAAATCGGAAAACAACCGCTGATCTTCCAAATTTGACTTTGGTGACTCATAGGATCGATCAGATTGATCCTAGGACATGTGCTAAAGTATTCTACGTTTAGAATTAAATTTAAAGTACTCATGATAACGAATTGGTAAATGTGCTTGTAATGAAAAAGACTTTGACTGGGTATTCTAAAGTGCATAAACTTAAAGAAACGTTTTAAAAGATTTGTAAAAGGCTGATCGAAAAGGGTAAAAAGTTTAAAGGGAAGAAGGAATTAGAGTAAAAGATGCAGGAAAGGTAAAGGCAAAACGTAACACTTGCACAAGTGGTTCGACAGAGGAAATGTAAATATTGCTGAAATTGTAAAAGACTTTATTGAAAGGTTGGTGATTTTACATAACGTACATTCTCCGTGAAAATACTCTTTTCTCACACTCGGGTACTTTGAGTAAATTTGATTGGAGTTACTTTGTACAAATGGTAAAACACACCCGGAAATCTGCCTAACAAATCCCTATTTATAATGCTAATAATTAACTGCTAATAAGTTCCTAGTATCTCCTCGATCTAACAAGTGTCATTTGCATGCAACTTCCTGCTCTAGAACTCGCCACGTGTCTTATGAACCAAACTCCTCCCTCCAATTTTTGAATTTCAAAACGACGTAGCAATGCCATTTGCGGAATTTCGGTCGAATGACCTCTGACACGGTCGAAATGCTCATAACTTTAGGTTTCTTAATTTTTCTAAGTTATTTCAACCGTTTAGCTTTAGAAAATTCCTTAGAGGCTGTCGAAACCTCTTTGCTTCATTTTACTTAGACATTAATTATGTCTTAATGTTTAGCAACCCAAGGCAGTGTCGAATTTGGGAGCTAACAGCTGTACTCTTTTATGATGTTTTGATCTTGTGATTTGTTTTAGCCAAAATTTGTCAAAGGGGGAGTTTGTTAGTTTTTGATTGGCAGGAATTTTGGTAAAACTAAGTGTAATCACGGGATGTTCTACAAGATGTTGTGACATCTGTAGTCAAAATTAGCAGGTGGTGTTTTGTGCTGTGGAACAGGTGCTTTTCAGGATGTCAACCTAGATGTCTTGACATTCATAATCCAGAACATTGTGTATGAGTGTATGTGATGGCAGTACAACAGGTCTAGTTGATTGGTAGGATATTAGCTACTCTGCATGATTGGTTGTGCGTTAGTTTTTCTGTTGCATGTGTACTCTAATATGGTGACAAATTGTTTTAGCCAAAAATTTGCCAAAGGGAAAGTTTGTAGATGTTCTTGATTGGCTGCATTTTGTGGTAAAACATTGTTGTGTGTGTAGATGTCTTGACTAATGTCATGACATACTTGTGTAGTGTACTGCATGGTAAGTTTGGTTAGCTAGTACACAGTTTAATGGATGTCAAGTTGAATGTTGTGACATCAGGGGGCTTCCAGTTAGGGCGCTGTTTGTTTTTCTGTTATGGTTCCTGAATTATCTCAGGGTATATTCTAGGAAACCTGTTATGGTTCCTTAGTTATCTCAGGCCATATTTTAGGAGACTTTCCAAGGAAACGCCTTTGACCTATTTGTTAGCAGATTGAACAATGAAGATTGGTTTTAACTTGGTTAAACCTAATTTGTGCAACTTAGGTCCAAGGCTCTTGCGCTGCATATAAATAAGAGTGACATCACTTATTGAAGGGTATATATTTTGTGGTGAAGAATTCTGTTAGTGTGTTTACATCTTCACATGTGTTTTTGTGTCTTAGGATTACTTGTGAGTCAAGCAATCATCTCTTAGATGATTGTACTAGACTAGTGTGATTTTGAGTTGTATGTTGGTTGTGTCACTCTAAGTTGTTAAGCACGAGTGTTGTGTCTCTTGATCGAAGTTGTTAAGCAAGATCAAGATTTGTTTGAAGTGTGTCTTCTTTTTAAATCTGTAACTTAATTTGTTGATATCACTGTTGTGATTGAGGGGGAGTGAGTAGGAACTCAGGTCTAGAGTTAGATTGAAATTGCATTGGGTAGGTCTTAAGTGAGGAGTGCAAACTGGTAGTTTGGCTCTGAATTAACACTGCTTATAGTGGATTTCCTCCCTGGCTTGGTAGCCCCCAGAGTAGGTGTGATTTGCACCGAACTGGGTAAATAATTTCGTATGTTCTTTACTGCTTTCGTTACTTGTTTACTGCTGAGTTTAATAATCTGTTCAGAAGCGGATGTTATAACATCCGATATAACATCGACTGTCTGTTACTAGAATTTCACACCATATGTATAATATGAATACATCTCACCATATAAGAGATCAGTGATGAAATTTCCAGTGAGAAAGTCGACAATCGACTTAAACTTGAATTGGTGTGTCGGTATTTCAAGTATTGACAATTTCGAAACAGTCGTTCCTCCATTGAAGACAAGTTTCAACTTGTTGGGGCAAACTTTGAAAGTGCCATCATTAGTCATTGGCTCTCCATTGTAAAGGCTATAAGTGTCATGTTCAGTTAGCTGTTCAGACCAGTCTTTAAACTCACTGTTCCGAGTTGCGACATGGATTTGATCACCCTACAAAATGGGCAAACATTTAAGGAAATGAACAATAATAATATAGAAACAGAGCAGGTAATGATTACCTGTGAATCTTGAATCACCATTTCGAAATGTTGCAGTCCACTTTTCTCCTTCACAATCCAAAGATCAACAACTCTAATGAGCATTTTCCAAACCTGTTTCTCTTTCTCCAAGTCCTTGATGAGTATTGGGGGTCTTGACATGGTTGCTTAGAAACATAACAGAAAATAAATTGCTCTGGTGAACGGACAGTAATCAGTATTCATATACCTTACAACTTCACAACTGCTTAAATATTTTCTGTGTAAGCAAAAACAATTTATTAACAAAAACATGTTTTCATGAAAACAACCTGCATATTTTATAGTGTAAATCAAAGAACCTACAAAGTATGCATATTTGTGAGTTGGTACTTGAATATATGTATGAATATCAACAATATACAACATAAAAATGAGTTGGTACATGTAAAACAACAATGTCAACTTGCAAAACAACACCAGCCGGTTCAGAACAACTTGTAAAACAACAATGTCAACTTGCAAAACAACAAAAAATGTGAAAAAACGAACCAGAAGAGTTTGATGTTAGCAGAAGTTTGATGATGTTTGTGGGGAGGAGGAGCAAAATCGTGTGAGTATAAGAATTTTATGGGTAACTCAAGGTTAAGATGTTTGTGGGGAGGAGGGAAAATTTTTTTTGCTTGCATCCAATACAGAGTTGACAAATGGCAAGAGAAGAGAGATATCAAAAAAATGAATTTTGCCATTTAGCTTATTACTATTTTGTCCAAAATGAAGGATAATTTATTTTAAAGAAAAGGACAGTTAAGTAATTTTGGACAATGTTTTTTTTTTGAAGTGTTGATAGTTGATTTAAAAGAGATTTAAAGGTTGAAAATGAAGGATCCAGGATTTCAAACACTTCTGGATTTAATAGTATTGGATTAGTGGTCGCAAAGAGATTTAAAGGTGAAAAAGAAATGACCCTTAATGAGATAGTGTTTCAAACACTTCTAGATTTAATTTTCATAATTCCTCTTGAATTTTTCGTCGCAAAATTGACCACCGAGATTTAAAAAAAAATGGTTCCTTTCTTGGATCTCTCACAACTATTGCTGTATTTTTGTGAGTATTTTAATTGCTCTTGCTTCCCCACTTTATCTTGTGATTCTACGCCAGTAACGTGTTAGCTGTGAATGCATGTGCTGATTCCTAGAATCTCAACTTTGTCGACAAAACACAGACCAACCTTTATACAAACACCACGTACAAACAATACTTCATACTTCAATGTCTGTTTCATCTTATACTAAAATCTCCATTCCCAAGTCCTACCCCACCGACCTCATAGACAGCATTATTCTCCCTTAACTGTTTGGGATGGTTTTTGAGGGAGTTTTCTAAATCAGCAAAGAATAGATTCCTTGCTGATGAAAGATGACTTATATTTTCAAAATGAGAATATGCTTAAAAGAACAAAACAGCATGTTATTCCCTTGAACAAATGTTCATCCCTCAATTGTTCAACATCATAACAATGCTGAATATGTAGAGAATATATTAAACACCAGAATAAACAGTAATCTGTAATTTTGCACAATTGAACAAATGCAAGCAAATTCTCACAAAAGTATATGATACATAACATAATCAAACCAGGGTCCGGAAAATACAGAGATCTTAGGATTGCAATTTCCATCAACAAAAAAAGAAAGAAAAAGGAACATAAAAAAACTGATGAATAAATCTGCAACCCGAAAACCCCAATTACATACAGAAACCGGTTATCCCCCATTAATACAGAAGATGTATACTCTGCAATGTCATGCTCTTAAACTGTTGATTAAACCATAAACTAAGAATCTCTTCTGAGAAGAGAAAAAAAACACAAGAGAAAGTAAAAAGTTTCCATTTTTTTCTTCTTGTTGTTGAATCTTTGTTTTAATAAGCCATGCATTTGAAACCGCTGCAAACCCATAACCAAATCACAAACAAAACAGCACAGACAAACAAATCAAGCATCAAAACAACCCACACGTGTTTCTTCCATATATGCTTCGCTTTCTGACGATCATTGATCTTCGAAAGCTGCAAGGAACTGGTATCATCCGAAGATAAATCCACCAATGCAGCTTCTTTACCATCATCAACAATTCTCTTCTTTTTCTTCAATCCTTCATCGGGTTTCACGAGGAGGGTTCGCGAATTCGTCGGCGAAATCACCGAGCTACCGGGATTAGAAGATAGGTCATAGAAATTTAGGGTTTCGTTTATAACAGAATCGAATTGGGCCTGAAGGGAGAAAGGGGTAAAGGTGTCATTTTTATCAAGGGTTTCGAGGAGGGAGGATCTGATACGGTTGAGAAAAGCGAGAGCGTGTGATTTGAGAAGGTTGTCATCGAAGATTGCGAAGAGAACGAAGGGGGGTTGGATTATGAAGGAGTAGGTGCGATTATTGACGGTGTGAGAGAAAAAGGAATGATTTGGAGGGGAATGTTCTAAGCATTTAGATGCTAATGTTTCTATGGTGGATGAATCTTTGGAATTGTTGATGTGATGTGCGAGAATTGTTGTTGATTTTGCAATGCATAGGTAGTGGATTAGGTCAGGATTCCAAATCATGGAAGCTGCACCCATTGGAGAAAGAGATTGAATGAATCAAGATGGGGATTCAAAATTCAATCTTTGCGTGTGGTGTGTTTGTTTGTCATGGTTGATTTGGGATTAGGGTTTTGGTTTCGATTTAGGGGTGAAGGAGAATCTCAATTGATTTGAGATATGGAAATGAAAAAAGAAGAGGAATGATGAAGGAAAAGCAAAGATAAGGGGGTGAGAATAGAAAATGAGATGATTGGATTGGATGGGTCCCAACTACAGCAAACCATCGTTGTCTTGACTTTTAAAGTACCAATTTAATTATTTTGGTACAATTCTAAATTACCTACTTAACTTCTCAAATATGTTTTCTCTTTTTTTTTTTTCTTTCTTTTTAAAGATTAAAATTATTTAATTTTAGAATTGACCTCAAACTGAATTAAGTATTAGTGTAGATTGAATATTAGTGAAATAAGAAGTAATTTAGTTATGTTAAGTGAGTTGAGATGTAGGTGGAATTCTAGTCATTAAATTATTAAAACAATTATGAAATGATTTTTAAAAAGTGACATTATAATGTGATATGTTTAGATGTGTGTACTGTCTAAAATAATCATACATCACCCATGCATAAAACATAATCTCATGCTATAAGTAATTTAAGAGTAATGTCACTATAAACACAAGTTAAGACATACATTTATAAACATAATCTCATACTATAAATAATTTAAGGGTAACGTTACTATAAGTACAAGTTAAGAAATACATTTATAATAAATTTATATTAAAAACATTAATAAAAAATTAAATTTTATATTTTTATTATTTTTTCTTCCACCTTATTATTCTAATTAAAATTTACTATTTCCCTTTATAATTTATTTTAATTTAAATAAAATAGTTACATATTAAATATCTTTTATGTCATTTTAATTTATCAATTAATTGAACTATTAATTTTATCAAATATTTCAATTAATTTATTAGCTATAAATTGTCAGCAAATTATAAGTTATCAATCATCAATAATCAATCATAAATTATAAAACATTAATTAGTTTATTAATCAACCATTATTTTTATCAAACCGAATCTTGAATTTGAAAAAAACTATATAAATACTAAATGTAAGTATAACAAAAATGATGAGAGACTTGTGTCCACTACACACAACTTATAATATGGCAATTACACACAGAGGGGGTGTTGTTTTGATTCCCAAACGTGATGAGATCAAGGACATATAAAACCTAGCAATGGTAATTCTTATTGAAATTTCATGTAATAAGCTATATGGAGCTAAATTTCAAGGTTATCGTCTGTGCATATTCTTTTCAAGGAACCATTTGTCTATATATACATCAAAAAGACTTTTTATAATCGGTGCAAATCACTTCTTAATTTTTTATGATTTTTGGTGTGAGTCTTCTTGGGGATATTGTTTGTTGATGTAAGTATACTATCATTGTATTTGGATTGGTATACTTCTAGTATACCTATATTGAATTATTGTTTATAAAAAAAAAAAAAAAAAAAAAAAATATATATATATATATATATATATATATATATATATATATATATATATATATATATTATATATATATATATATATATATATATATATATATATATATATATATAATATATATATATATATATATATATATATATATATATATATATATATATATATATATATATATATATATATATATATATATATATATATATATATATATATATATATATATATATATATATATATATATATATATATATACACCTAGGAAGTATGAAACTATTAGAATCCCTTAAAAGTAAGCGTACCTTTCTAAGTCATGAAATCAATTTTCCACCAACTCAACTCCATAAAGTTGACTTGTAAACTCATCCTTCATCCATATCTTTAAATTACAAGAGTGTGTTTGGATTAATAAAATGGAATAAAATAGGATAGAATGATATCGACTTAAATTCTATTGTTTGAATTGATTAAAAAAAATGGAATGTAGTGAAACCGGATTCCACCCCATTTCATCACTTTCCATCATTTTTTCTACCCTCTGATTTAGGCGGAATGACAAAATCTTAATATTCTGCCATGAAATATCCAAACAATAGAACGACATATTTATTTCATTCCACTCCGCTTCATTTCATTCCATTCTGTTCCGCTACATTCCGCTCCATTCATTTTACATTATTCAAACATAGCTTAAATGAACAAAATTGACGGACAACTATAAGATATATGTGTACATAATTTCAAGCATTGCCCTACAAGTTTTTAATGACAATTGAGATTTACAAAATTGAAAATAGTACTGATTTACTTTTATTGTTTTTATAACAACAAAATGAAGAATTATTTTTCTAGATAAAAGATAGAAGTGATATGCAAAAAAATAAATGTAATAAAGTAAATGAACACAAGAAATTATACTAATTTCACGTATCAATCAATAGTACATATAGTCCCCTCACATATTTACACAAATTATTTCATCTGTAACTGTTTGTTGTAAACTTGTTTATTAGGTTGTGATAACAAGTGTGTAAAAGAGGAAATATGGTTCTTTCTCTTGTTGTTGGAATTAAAGAAGTGGTTTGCTTTTTTGTTGTTGTTAAAAGATAGGAGAAGTCTTGGCGTGAGGCTTGTACAAAGATATGGCAACAAGTGATACAAAATTAATTCTCTTTCAGTGATAACCAGTTACGTGATTATGTTAATCAGTCATACGGGATGGCAATTTGACCCATCCTCAGTGGGTACCCACAAAATTACCCATAACGAGTAAGGTAAAAACCCGTAAAAATGGGTATGGATACAGACTCGAGTATTTATCCACTTAAATAAGCGGAGATGGGTGTTGGGCACCTTAGTACCCACTTCGCCTCATACCTGCACAATATATATTTATATATTTTAATTTATATTATTATATAAAAATAAATTTTTATAAAACTTAAAAAAAAACATCATTTTTAAACTACTACATATTTAATGTAAGTGATCACTTATTTCATAATTCAACAATAATTTTTAAATTTTTTTTTAATGTTTTAAAAACTTAAAATATTATGATATTTTATACTTGATATATTTATTTTTATTAGAAATGCGGGTAAAAGGTACGGGTATGAGCATTTATATACCCATAGGATACAGAGATGGTGTCAATGTTGATACCCAAGCGGGTATGGGCTCGCACACCCACGATGCTTTCCCTTTTACTTCAACTCATAAGTGATTTTTGCCTTGCTGTAACCGATTACACCCCTTATTAACCGGTTACAGCACTTGAATTACCAAAATACTCTTAACACGTCATCTTAATTCAAGTGCTCCAAATCTCTCATGCTCATGTTCATCTTCAACATTTTGAACACATCATTTGTGACTCTCTTAGTCAAGAAATCAGTCACTTGATCTTCACTTCTACAATATCTCAATCTTAACTTTCATTCACTAACAAGTTTTCTCAAATAGTGAAATTTCATGTTCATGCATCCTATGGATTAATAACAACTTGCAAGTTGTTTGAAAAGTAGAACGTAAAATATATTATATGAAATGTATCATTTAAAAAAAATAATAGCATAAAATACACTAAAAATATGATAGCAAAGAATACACATAGAAATATAATGTTTGAAAAAAATATTGTAAATTGACCAATTAAATCAAACTGAACCAAACCAAACCAATAAAAATATCATATGTTTAAATAAATTTTTTAACTAAAAACTAGTGCAAACCAAACTAATTACACCCTAATACTAAATCAGTTGTAATCATATCTCAATTCACATAAAATTAGTGATTAACACTAATGACTTTATTAAATTTATAGAGAGAAAATGCATATAATACATATATATATATATATATATATATATATATATATATATATATATATATATATATATATATATATATATATATATATATATATATATATATATAAATAGCGTTTTCAACTTATAATGTTGAATTGGTGTTGATCTTACCTGATCAGGAGGGATCACGGACTGGCCACGCTTCGCCGGACGGTTATCTGTTCGCCGAGGTAAGAACGAGGAGGGGGTGTACCTGCAAAGCACTCCGACGCCCAAGTAAGAAGTTGGACAGAGAGGAAGCAATAGTACAAAAAAGGGGCAAGAAGAGTTACCTGACCCTCTTGAAGAAGAGAGTATTTATAGAGAGACCCCAGCGCTGGGCCAACGGTCATTCGAGGTGGGCCGGACGACCAGGCCCAACCCTAATGACTGCTAGGGCTTACGTGGCGTAGTGAAGACCAGGACGTGGTCTTCGCCCTAGTTCAACCGCTCCTAGGTCTCCGGAAAGTGGGTTTGACCTGCTCTTTCGGAGGTGGGCGGTTGGCCGATGACGTGTCCCCGCGGAGGGGAGCACGTGGAGAACGTGCGCCGAGCACGTTATTCTTCCCGCGGAGGGGAGCCCGGTTAGTCTTGCTCGTCCGGTGTATCGGGCGACGAAGGGGATGCGGTGCGATGGCTTGTGCCCGGCGGACGGTCCTGCCCGTCCGAAGGGGGGTGTGCCAGGTGTGCTCGGTTCGCCTGTTGGGCCGTATTTGGTATTGGGCCTGCCGAGGTGAGGCCCACACCGGAACAGGAGCCCCCCAAGTCGAAGCTCTGGGGAAGAGCGAGGACTTAAGGTCGTCGCGTCCGGAGCGGGGGACCCGTGCGAAGGGCTCCGGTCGTCGGTAGAACGGGGAGGAGGCAGATGAAGAGACGCGACTGTCAGGCTACCTCCACGTGTCTTGCGTTAAGCGGTCGTAGGGGCGGCTAACCTATGTCATTAATGAGCCTAGGGTCGCTTCGAGTCTCGCGCCGGGTTATAAATATGGCGGTCCCCGCTCATTCTGTTACTTTTCTCCCTGTTGATCTTTCATCGTTTCTGCTCGTCCGCCGCTCGCCGCCGATCAACGCCGTGCCATTCGCTTTTTCTTCCGTCCGCCGCCGTTATAAGTGAGTCCCTCTTTTCCCTCTCTTTTATTTCGTCGTCTAACTGGGAC